CTAAGACCTTTTTATAATTTACCAAATTTGACAAGAAAAAAAACCCCTTTATATATGTGGAAGTCAAAAAGGATAAAAAGAGAAACAACTACTTTAAAAAAAGAGGGAAAGTAGTCTACTTTTATCTCTCTCAAAAAGAAGAAAGTATGGGCCAGGGATTTAGCTCAGTGGTTCTGCTGCAGCCCTCGCAAGCACAAGGACCCAAGTTTGATCCCTGGTACCAAAAAAAGTAAAAAAAAAAAAAATGTAAAAAAAAGAAAGTATCACAATTTTTCATTTGGAGAATTTTGTCAAGAACTATTAAGAATATAATTGTACTTCATTATAAAGAACAAATCAGAGGAATGGTGTGAACATCTCACAAGTTTACATATTGAATAACAATCCATGTATCTCATGTTGTCTCCATGTGTCTAATGTTTACACATTGAATAATAACCCATATATCTCATGTTAAATAACTTGTAAATTCAACCAAAAGGCAAATGATGCATACAGCTTCAAGTATATGAGCTTTAAAAAAAGAAAGAAAAACCAGTTGGTTATATGTCAAAGCTAAACACAGCACGTCATGTGTTCTTCTAGTAAATGAAAAGATCCAAGTATCTTCATCCCCAAGTCAAAGACTGGTGCAGGAGTCGACAGAATTCTAGCAGAATGCACAACTCGGCAGACTCCAAATCTTTGCAGCGCTGACTTCAAGAGTCTTAATGAGTCCACTGTGCTCTATTGTAATAATGATGCTGCTAATCATTTCTGAATAGTGTAGGTCTTCTTCTGGAAACAGAAAATGCCTCTGTAAATCTGGGCTCTCCTTGTTATTTCTTATGCTTGTACATTTAATCTGTCTGTCAGTTCTTGCTGAGGCCATTGTAGCAGCATCCAGCAGCAACTCCTCATCACTGGTACATCTTCCCTGCCTAGGAAGGGTTAATTCTTTTTGAAAGAGAATTTGACTTCTTAAATTTGGATATGTTTTTTTCTGGCTTAGGAGATTTATACTTTTGTGTTTGCACCATTCTTTTTACACAGTAGTACAATTTGTGATGTTGTGGCATCTCTTTTTTCAAGGATACTTGGTTTTTTGTTTTCATTGTTTCCTTTTCTTGGAGACTTTATCTTTTTCTTACTGATATGGATAGCAGTAATGGACTTTTAAATCACTCGGCTGTTATATTTTAGAAATGAGTAATATGGTGTAACAGGAAAACACTACAGTGAAAGTCAAATTACTTATCATTTAACTTCAGCTCTCCCACAGGTTTGACCCCTTGTGTTTTCATCCTTCTTGCTATTCAGCTGGGGTGATAAATAAAAGCAACGAAGTACACAAAAGTATTTAATAGATTTTTAAGTCAGTCTAGGATTATTTGTTATTATGATGGCTTATAAATGAAGTTTTATTTTTTTGAGACAGGCTCTTGCTATGTAGTTCAGGCCATTCTTGAAGTCACTTTGTTCCCCAGGCTGGCCTCTAACTCACAATGATCTTCCTACCTCAAGACATCTCAGTTCTGGGATACAGGCATGCACTACCACACCTGGCATGACTGAACTTTTGAGAGGGAAATTAACTTTATGTCTAAGAAAGTACTTGAGCTGTCCAAAATGATGCAATGATTCTAGGAAAAAGCATAATTAGTTGGAAATAAACACTTGTGCAAGTAATGTTACACAAGAACAGGATCTGCTGAATGGCATTTCTACTTCCACTTTTCTTACAGTTTGAAATAATTAAGTGAGGGGAGATATAAAAGGAAAAAAAAAACTTCTAAAGAGTTGGCTTTATTGTGGAAATGCTTATAAAGAATGCTATTATATTTCCATATAGAACATTTTTATGTTTATATTTATTAACTCTATCCCAACTAATGACTTTGGTGATTAACTTCACACTTATCTACATTCTGATTAAAATTAAAGGGATTAGTTCCAAACTAAATCATAAAATAAATAAATAAGGATGAAAATGTGTAACAGATAATGTGAAATAGGAAGAAAAGGTCCAAAGAGGAAGGGGAAGTGGGAGGGGTAGGGGAAAGGAAAGAATGGAAAGAAATAAATATGAGAAAAGGAAAACAAATTTTCTTAAATGTTAGAAGCACAGCCTGCAATGAAAGTTTCAGAAGGGTTACTAGTTGTCAAAGCTCTTCCTCTATGATCACACGCACACATACAAATTAGGACATTTCAAAAGTATATCTTGAAGGAATAAAGAATTGTAGTTGGTAATTCTCAAAGACATTATATAATTTTTGTATTTTAAAAATCTATATGCATGTCTGCATAATTGAAATAACAAAACATATAAACACCAAAATACAATTTCATTTCTACCTTCCCTTATTAAATTGCATCATCCTACAAATTGCATTTGTTAATCATTGACATTTCTTTTGAAGATTCATTTTAGTCATCAAGAGTGGAAGATTTGATTGCTCTTGATGATTCTCTTATAGCCTTTCCTGATTATCTTCTAAATTCGATGACAAACATTGCAACATGTCTCAGCCAATTAGGCTTGTCAACTTCCACCGTGGCCCTCAATCAAGTGTGTGACTTTGGAAATGACAGGCGATCTTTATTAAAAGTTATGCTTCTTGGATAGAGATGTGGCAGCTTACATGGGGATGGTGGTACAGAAAAGCTGTCTTTCTAAAAACATTAAAAGGAAATTAATTTTGGCCGGCAATGCTCTTAAGTAAAGACCAAGGGAAAGGATTGAAGAGCACTTCCTTTATAGCTGATTGTAAATTGAATTAATCTAAAGCACAAGTGGCAAACCTATGGCATGCGTACCACAGCTGGGTGTTTGTTATCACTGAAAGCTCTAAAGGGTTTGCTATCCCTGACCTAAAGAAATGTTTTTTATGAGCTACAGCTAGTTCATATACATAAGTTGAAGAAAAAGTAGGAGGGGTTGTTAGAGCATTAATACAACTTTACAAGTTGCTTCTAAATTCAACCCAAACAAAAAGAAAACAAGTGCAATGAATTTGAAACTAGAAACAGAAATTAATCCCTGAAAAGCAGCCACCTATGAAAACTTTTCTGTAAGTAAACTGACACATTGTGTGAGATGTAAATAAATTTAGAGAAATGATGGAAGATAATTCTGGGTCATCTCTGCAGAAAATGACAGCTGTATTCACAAATAGTTTTCTTATTTCAGTAGCTAGGTTCCTCATTATTTTAATGTATCATAAGAAAAAAATTGAATTTGTTGAAGAGGAAAAGAAAAAAGGGATGTTAGAACAAAAAGTCCATCTAATCTTACACTTGCATTTCTATAAGATTTTTTCCTATTCAAATAATTAAACTCTTCAAACAAAGTATCCCAAGATATCCAAAGAACTAGCAGTTTGCTCATTTAAACCAACTAGATTACAAAGAACATCCATAAAACTCGTCAACAGTATGATTTTTAATGCCTCTAAAATACGTGTCTGAGACATGAAGCAAAAGAAATCTAGCATTTAAAAAAAGAATAGGATTTTTTTTCTATTGATAATAAAATCATTTAGAAGTCAAATAGCAGCATGTGTGCCTGCAATAAATAATTACCATTGTATTTCACCTTCAGGAAAGTATAAAGGAATTCTAGATTTCATATGAATACCATTGGCATTTTCTTATGAACTCTCAATAGATGCCATAAAAATCTCCAGCTGCTAATCAAAAATCAGTGGATAGACGAATGTCAATATTTCAGTTATCCATCACTGAAGAAAAATGACATGTATCATTGGAGAGCCTTGATATAGGATATTTGAAAGAATGAAACTAATAAAGTACCCTATACAATTATTAAGATATAGGCAATGATATAGGCACAACCAAGCAAAGAGTACAAATACATTGGGAATAATTTGAATAGCCCTCACATCTGTTTTAAACCAAATCTACCCAGTATTTGGCATATTAAAGTCATCGTTGTACATACATTTGCAGAGATCAGGTACCATACACTGAGGTGCAGTCATGTTATTTCTTTTATGTAACAATAAAATACACTATAAAATACATTAAATAAAACTTTACAGAACATTCTCTTAGACTCCTGGAGTAATGCAGGTGTTTTCTCTTCTTTTTTAAACAAAAATAATCTTTAAAACTCTTCTAATATGAAGAAAAGGTATAACTATTCCTCCAAACAGACATACATTCTGATTTTATGTACTCACACAAGTACTCCTTGACCTCCTGCTTTAATTTGCACCCCTAATAACTTCCTAGAAATGATTTAGCTTTTTAGAAATGGTGTACATTGCCCACTCCATTGGACAACACCATTAATTGGGAATACGTGTTCTTTCATAAAATATTTAGGAACTTACTGTTTTTATCCAATACCTTATAGTTAAGATAATATTCTGCAAAAAAAATACACTGGCAAATGTACTTCTTTATACCACTTAGGGAGTTAGCCTCTAGCACATACTATGCCATTTGACATGGTGGGGGAAGGGAGGAGCCAGCCTGGGGTGGGAATACTGGGCAGGTGGGAATACTTTTTATGTGCCCCTACCTATAACTGAATTAGACTTTGCGTTCTACTTCTCAGTCATCCTGATGTCTTGAAATGTATTTTAAAAATAAGGTTTTGCATACTTGAATTCTATGAATAATTCATAAGCAAGAAGAAATCCAATTGAAAAATGCACACCATTTCTAGGGTAATTTATAGATATAGAAAATTATTCATATTTAGTAATTTTTATTATGGAAATAGAAAAAATTATACCTATGGAAGTATATACTTATCACTTCTTGAGAATATCTGCATGCTCCATACTGTAACCAGTACATATATTTCTATCTCTTCTACACAATTAATTATTTTGTCCATTCCTCTTTCTATAATATTTATTTATGCAAAACCTAATTTTTAATGTATATGAAGTAAAAATTGTTCTCTGGAAGGAAGAGTTCCAGGATATCAAGAAAGCCTACTGAGGAATGACCTAGACTAATTAACGGCTGCTTCTCCTTGGTTTCAGATTCAAGGCCTCTTCCAGATGTAGCCCTGACTGGGAAGTGCACTCGTGAGTGTGATGAGTACGGCCACTCAGACTCCTGTTGGATGCCAGTCCGCACTTCTCCTGAGAGGAAGAAGAGCCAGCCCAAACTCTCCACTTTCATGCCTGTTGATGAACGAGGAAGCCAAGAAAAGCTGGCCAATGGCGAGGCAGCCATCATGGGTGACCGCAACAGAAACCTCCTGAACAAAAAGTTGACCTCATCCTATGAGACCTTCAGTGCAGCTAGTTTCAGCAAAAATGAGGAAGCCAACCCTGAGGATATTCCCCTGACAAAAACGGGGGAATATAAGCCATCTCCTGTCAATACTCTCACTAGAAGAGAAGTTTACCTGTAGGCTATCAAGGAGCAACAGCAAAGTTCTTTTCATGTATGAGAAGGAGAATAAGGGGCAAAAATCTTACACAGCAAAACCATTTAATCACAAAGAGGGGGCTACCAAAGAGACCAAGCTTTGCCTGCCACTTCTGCCTCCAGATCAGGCCTTTAGTGATACTGTCAGCCTGATTCCGATGTACAATGTAGAATCCATCCTTGTGATTGCATGTATGACCCTCCGCACCGATCCCCAACACCCACTCTCCCCCCCCCCCTTCAAGGAAAAAAAAAGATGGTTGCAAGTTTCTTTCATGGTAACAAGCCTGATTAGCAGAACACAACACACTCTCATTATCCCCAAGCTGAAGCATGATTTTAGTCACTTTGATTTTGTTCAAGTGTCATCTGGCTGATTTTAAAAAGCAGGACAGAAAAATTATATTTCAGACATACCATCAAAATATGGTTTATCACTATCAAGGGCAATCCTTTGACATGATAACTTCGCTCTGAAGTTACATAAAAGCGGACAATTCAAAAGCATTTTGGAAAGATCACAGCTTTAAAATTCTAATAAAGACTAGAGCAAAATAATACTCTGTGGGGGATTGAAGTCCCAAGCTGGCATATGTTGTTATTTTCAGGTCATGATCAACAACTTTAATTCTATACATTCATCGAATATTCTCACACAATCTTGGTAACATATTTCAATTATGCTTATTATTACTTGTACAATTTTTTTTTCAGAACAGGACCACTATGATCAACTAACTTGAACAATTGTGTCATTATGAGGCCAAAGATCATATGGCAGATCAGGGAAATCATGAAGTTGATTTGGTCTTGACATGAAAATCCATTAAACTACAAAAAAAAAAAATCAACCCATGCCCACACAGAAACACTCAAACATTAGTTTATTTTATATTGTCTCTATGGCCAGAAAACATTCTTCTTTTAAAATTGATTTTATTTGAAAGCTCAGAAAAAAAAAAAAAAAACTAAGGAGACATATTTTTGGTATTATAATAGGCAACTGGGTGAGGTTCAAGCTTAGATTCACAGAATACTGTCAGGGAAGATTGCACTTTTTAAAATATCGTATTTATGGATAGTCAGGTAGGGGAAGATACATTGTTGTATGGTCTTATTAGTTAGGTCCACTGTGATCATTTTATAATCCCAGGTATGCTGGATGGTCTTTAAAATTATACACTTCAGATTATACTTTTTAACTGTTCAGTTCGCACTTCCACACAACACAGCTGCATTACTTTTGAATCCAGTGCAACATAGTAGAACTACTTTGAGACTCATAAGATCAAAACAAGGCAATATCCCAATTGACTTTGTCATTAATGGGATTTGAACATTATTTCAGGTATGTCTTAAACAAATCCAGACTGAAAAGGAATTAAAAAGAGTTCTGGCAGTGATTTTTCTCATAGTAAGGAGATCTCAAAGTTGGAAAACACTGAGTTTTTTCAGTGCACTAAGAAGAAACAGGATACACAGATTTTTGAGCCACTTGATGTATATAAGATGACTCAGTAAATTATAAATTGAGCTGGACATTCAGATAAAAGTGACAATCCATAGATAGAATAGGGGAAACCAGTAAAGAGAGCGAATGTTCTCATTACAGATTGTTTGTAACTTGGTTAAAGAGTAACCTTGACTGCTCTCTAGTGAACCATAGACACATGTAGCTTTGGGTAGTTTCACTCTTTGCAGAATTTCTTAGACTACAAGGTGAAGCATACTGGAATATAGGTTGATAATTCACTATAGGTCATCAAAATACTTGTCTTTGAAAACTACTTTTCTGTTCAGTGGGGTACTATTTTGGGATCATTTCCTTATGCTCTTTCTTAAATGGAGTTTTCATTTTGATGGTAGTTTATGTATAATAGATAGGATAAAAAGATATGTAATTGAAACAAAAACATTGGACTAAATATCAATAATTGAACATGCTTATGTTTGATTATTATTTACACTATGGAAAGATGCAATTCTAGTACATTGTTAGGAAACTGCATTAAAGCAGTTTTGCCTTGTATAATCTGTAAGTACCTATTAAGACAAATACTTCTAAAGATACTTATGAAATGTATACATATTTTTTCTTGCACGTTACAAAGGAAATAATTGCATAACACAGATGTTCAACAAAGTTTTTTTAGTGTGTTTTTTTTTTTTCATTCATGAGACACTTGAAACAACTAGATAGCTCATTTCATCCTATCTTAAAATCCTTCTGTTGTCTGTAAAGCTAATACGGGTCATACTGGACCTTTGGATTAATTGGATCCTCAATTCCCCAGTGATGTTTGCACCATATTCAATATAGCCATGCCATTGTCATTTAACTCGTGAACCTTTCTTTATAACTAAAATGGGTGTGAAAGAAAATTCAGTGTACTGTAAGTATTCACAGTAATTCTAGTAGAATTAGCTATCATAACATGTTTATTATATAATGAGCTGGCATGACACAGAAGTATATTTTGTGTTTGTATGACTTTTATTTTGAATAGTTTAAATCTGGTGCCACTCCACATATAGAGTGCTTTTGAAAAAAAATCAATAAAAAGAAACAAAAATATAAATAAATGAGTGAATGCAAAATAAGCAACTGTGCCTTTTATACCTGTTGTTATGGTAAAAAAATGGTTGTTTGGTTTGGACAATGAGGGGAAATGGGCTATTCCCAACTTTTTTGATCCTGTATATTTATCCATGATTATTTTATGAAAATAATAAATAATATATTAAAAATTTGCCTTCTGACAAACTCAGATAGTGGACCAGTCTTAAATACTATTCATTCATAAAACAAAATCAAGGTATTAATATGGGCTGCTTAACTCTCACTGGAAGGTGAAAGCATTTATTATAAAATTAACACAAATATATTATCGGGGTGAAGTCAGTCCATTTTGGAAGATAAAATATTGATTTTGAATTTTTTGATTTTTTTCTTTTAGCTTCTCTTTCACTTTAATTGTACAGTATACAAATTATCGTTATTTTCTTTACTCAAGAATTTTAAGTGGACTTTTGCATGCATTATACAGTAGGACGCATTTATAAATTAACTATATAAATTTATGTGTATTAAAATGTCTCTAGCATCAATCTAAAATCTATTGATCTTTTAAAATCTCCAAATATCATTTCTGTATGTTTTTTGACTGGCCTGCTGCCTGAGTTTCAGAAAACAAAAGAGGCATTATTTTTACGGGAGGAGGAACTAAGATGGTACTGAGGATGTCTGCCTGAAAGGCCACCCTGGGAAGCTGTGTTATAGAAAAACAAGACAAAACATTCAGACAAGAAGGAATTGCCAAGAATCAAACAGCCATCCTAAACAGTTTTGAGAAATCGGAACACCCAAGCCATTTTAGGTATATCAGCAACAAATGTGTCCTTAAAGGAAAAAATAAAATAAAACATAATGGGCTGATCATGAATGTTCTAAAGCTGGTTCTTTGTGACCCAGGCAGAGGTACAGATAACATCGGGAGGAGGCATCACTTTTTCAGCTACCTAGGGTTTACTTTCAGACAACTTTCCCTACATTTTAAAGCACTTGCATTCAGTGTGGTACGATCTGTTTGTAATGTTAATCATTGACTATTGTTCTGCTACTTGGATGTTGATAGTGAAGCAGAGAACAATTTATCATCGTTTATTATGAGTCACTATGCACGCAACTATGCTAAACATGGCGAAATGTATTAAACACTCGTCCAAATATTTATGAACTCTTTACATAATTTAATTTGCTTTTGTACAGTTTTATGTAAATAAATTGCTTGTCATTTTTGTCTCTGAAAATTAAAATATAACATGCTCAAATGGTTTCACACTTGTAAGTGTACTGTTTAATGGTAATTCAATTCTGATTGGACAAGAAGTGAATAGATGTATGTACCAGTTTGATTTAAAATGGTTCACTGTGAGCTAATTTACATGAGATCAAGGAAGGTAATGTGGCAGTAATTATTTATTTGGGTACATCATGCATAATTGACAAATTAATCTGTATAATAATAGAATGAAACTTTGATTCTTCAGTTTCATCAAAATAATTCCTAAAATTAACTCAGCTTTAAAATTCAGGGTATAGAAGAATGTATTAAAACAAAGATTCATTTTGAGGGGAATGGCTCCCGAAATTTCTCACTTAAGATGAAAATAGCTCTAAGTCAGAATGCATCTTTGTATTAGGTTTGTTGTTGTTGTTGTTTGTTTGTTTTTATGGTGCTGTATATCTGGCCCAGAACATAGTCAAAGTTCTGCCATCTGAGTTGCATCATAGTTGTGTTTAATCTAAATGAAAGACAAATAGGGCAAAAATTCAGACTGAAAAAACTTATATCATGTGAAATTTTATAAAGTTCGAAACATAAAATAGAATTTTTATCTTGATCAAATCATTTCTTTCTTTAGTTGAGCCTTCTTTACCTTTTCTGTCTCTTTTCTATCTCTTAACCGTTCCATTTTCTATTTGTTATAAGATTGTACTCATTATAGTGATTATCTTCTTTATTTATGAATTTGTTATCTGTTAAAGCAAATATCTTCTCCCATCCTTCAATCGTGACCTTTCTCCAAGTAGGAGAGTTAGAAAGAGAGTATTTTCTCTCTCTATTACTAGATTAATGGAATCTTTATCCCATCTCACAACAGTAGCACTAAAATCTATCTGTGCAAAACACAAGCATCATAAAGATCCTTGCCTTGATACTTTACTGTTAATTCAACCAACCCTCTATCTGAAAATTCAACCTATTCTACATAAGATGACTTGCACTTTCTTGAATAAAATATATACTTTACTTTGATTTTAACAGGTATCCTTCTTTCTCCAAAGAAGGAATTAGGAATAAATACGGTGAGTAAGTCTGCTTCATGGTATATGAGGTAAAGAAGCAATATGTCCATTCATTTTTGACTTCTACTTTTCTAATAGAACGAAACAGTGTACATAATTTAACAGGACAGTACATAAAATGAAATCAGTATGTATTTCCCTAAATTTTTAAAACAAAATTTGAAAAAAGTATATCTTTTATTTTACCTTGAAATTGTGTTGTTAAATTGATTAAAAAAGTAAAAATAAAACTAAAAATCCTCAAATATGTAAATATAGTGACACATTTTAGAAAGGAGAAAGACATGATAAAGTTTAACAAATGTTGCACTGTATAGTTTTCAAGGCTTACGTTTAATTTTTCTACAATCTCTGATCTGTTACAATGGTCACAACTTGTAAGTTAAAAGGTTGACTTACTAGTCATTTGTTCCCAACAATCCCTTATATTTTACACCATCCATTATGGTTTTAAAAGTGTTACTATAAATTTTAAACTGTAGAAATTGTTACATGAGTAATCTGTAAAAGTGAATTTTACTCAGTAAATAATTTTTGGATTGATAGAATTTGAGCACAGTGGTGTACCAATATTAAGATTTTTCCTTCTACTGGCTCATGGACTAATAAAAATATATTTTGAAGATTTAGTGGAGTGATAAGAAAAAGAACCTGTCCATATTTACCTGAATAAAATTTACTTCTTTGGTTAAATGAGAATTTGGGTAGTGGATATAATCATGCTGATTGGCAGATAATTGTCTTCACTTGACATTGCTCAGGATACCCTGGCAGTAATAATAACCTGTATAGAATTTGTGACAGCATAAATCTAGAAGAATTATAGCCTAGTTTCTTGCTCCTTAATACCCTGGGCTCAACTATCAGTCAGTGAAGTTCTGGTGAACTTTGTCTGATTAGTCTAGCTTCGGGAACTTGAATCATCACATCTGGCAGAATTATCAAAATCATCAGCCCTTTTAAAATTGGCAAATTAGTTTCAATGGGCTGATTTCGCAAAAAAACAGTCAGTTGAGTTTCTTTCTTCCTCCTTTTTACTTTCCACTCTGAAACTTTTTTGTCCTATCCTAAAGTCTCTTGTCACATTTGAGAAGTTATTTGCACTAATTTCTTTCAAAAGCATATCTAGTTTTCCCAAAAGTTGGGTGTGATACTAAGTAGCTAAAAAAGAATTGCAGGATTTGCAACTCATTCACTTTAATTTTAGTGAAAATTTAATATAAACTACTTGGGCTCTTAGGGAGAAGAATAAATAGGGACTAAACATATATTTGTTTATTGTCTCATCTTTATTCTGTACTCTAATACTTGTTTATAAACTTTATAAAAGAAGGTGATTAACCAAAATAACATAAATTTTCTAAGCTACAGGGAGAATGAACATGAATGTAAAACACAGAAAGTTAATTTATGCTCTTCTTTAACCCTAAATTTATTTTTTTCCTGTTGTGTTTCTGTTAAATGTAAATTATTTTCATTGGTTTAATTTAATATATGATCCAGATGGGAATAATTTTGTTTACTAATTAGAATTCCCAAGGGAAGGTACAGAAGATGGCTAAATAGTTCATAAATGTAAAATTTGCCTCCACTACGTTAAACAAAAATTGGAGGTCATTTGGGATGTTCAGTGCTATTTTTCCATTAAAACCATCATTATTGAAATTATCTATTATCAGAAAGGTCACAAGAAAAATTCGTGAGATCAATGGTGTAATGCTAGAGGTAATCTTAAATATTAGGATGGAATTTGAAAATGCAAAATGTTAATGTACCTGACTTTTTAAAAAATTCATAAAGAAACAAGTGGATAAGCAATCAGAGAGAGAGAGGAAAAAGTTTGATTTTGGTAATTTATTTGAAAGTACATTAAAATCTAGACTTTATATAATTAGTACTAAATTGATAGTTTCACATCAGTTTTTCCTAAGTATGCTTTATACATATTATATGGAACATTTTTATTGCAGTTTTATAGGTTGTTATAAAATTTTGACCACATATTTAAACATTTTTATTGTAGATTTATGTAAAGGAAGTGAGGGCAAAAGAAAACATACTTGAAAGAACCTAAGAAATAAAATAGTTTCGTTAGATTATTGACTTAAAGTTTTAACACTGCCTCTACATGGAAACCAATTATTTGAATGCTTTTTGAGAGCCTACGGTTCAATGGAAATATCAAGTAGCAATTCTTAAACTACAATTTGAGGTCCAATAAGAGACTACATACTGTTAGGTGCACAGTTTTTGTAAAAGAATTTTTAAAATATTGAATTTATTAATATGATGATCAAGTAATCTCTCAAAAAAATTTAGGTATAATTCTCAGTTGAAGCATAATTTAATGCTTGTTTTTTTTTGTTTTGGGTTTTTTTTGTTGTTGTTTGTTTGTTTGATACTGGGGATCAAACTTGGATCCTTGCGCTTGCGCAGCAGGCGGTAAAACAACTGAGCTAAATCCCTGGCCCAGGAAATCTTTTTTTTTTTTTTTTTTTTCCAATGGTTGGTTTTTAAATCAATGTTTATCCATCTATTGGGAGTCCAAATGTTTATTTTTTCTTCTTTTCCTTAGCGGGTCCATATTTTGTTTAGTTGTGTGCAACACCAAATCAGAGAATTAGATAAGTAGAAAGTATTAAGCAATGAGAATGACTGAAGTAGAAAATGTCAGGATATACAAAAGTCAAAAAAAAATTTAAAATGGGGAGATAGCAAATGCCTTGGGCTCTGCAATTCAAAATTAAAATAAAGGATATTATGTAGATATTTATATGACAGAAAGAACAGATTCTGAGGTATTTTGTTTTTTCAGTCTCTTAAATATTTAAATACTGTTCTTGACTGAAGACACATACAAATACAGGACTGTACTTGGGCAGTTAATTTTAGTTTATTGATCTTAACATACACCACAAACTAATTCCACTGACACTAATTTTGAATTTTCCATGGCAAATCATTTTTCTTCTTTCTTTAATTTAACCCTACTTGCCTAGAATAGTTCTAGTTTATGGCCTTCTCCAGCAAATTCATTATTACCATCCTTTATTGTTAAATTACATGGTTGCCCTAGTTACCAGGGTTATTCCTTCCAAAGACCAGCTTCCCACTGACCAGTTACTCAAAAATCTCATCCCTAGATCCCAAAAGGTAGACTATGAGTTGCAGGTTAATACACAGAAAGTGCCCCGGCCCCGGAAAGGAGTTCACATTTTAATGCAGAGATTATCATCAGTAAAAACTTAAAAACATGTCTTCTTCTGGAAATAAACCTTTGAGGTTAGAAGTGAGAGATGTGATATTTTCAATGGGCTCAAAAACTTTAAACTCCATAAATAAATGCCATAGATAAGTACTTCTTGTAGTTAGAAAAAAATAGTCAAGACTCTGAATAAAAAGCAGCAATAATTGTAATGAATATAACAGGGTCTTTGGAGCAAAGGCACTTATCTTGTTTTCATGTTTTCCAAATTTTATACAATGATATAGAGTTTACATTAACAATTTTAAAAGTGAGCATTTTCAAGATATTTCAAAATT